ATAAAATTTTTAGGCAATCCGGTGTACATAAACTTTTTTTGAGATTAGGTGAAAAATACCCAAATTTGTTTTTATATTGTTAAGAGTTAGTTTGTTGTATTTAAACCATTTGGATATACTTTTAAGTTTATCATTCATAGTATAGAAGAGTTTGTAAATGTCATTATCGAAAAGTTAGCGTCGTCAACAAACATGATACTCAATAAATTTGAGGTTTTATTTTGGTCGTTTATATAAATCAAGAACAATAGTGGTCCCAAAACGGTTTTTGTAAAACGCTACATGAAATATTTTGAAATTTATTCGGATAAACATTATTGCTGAAAACAAATTGTTTACGGTTGAATGGATCCTTTTGAACCATTTTATAACTTTGCAAATTTATATATTTTAGATTGTGTAATGAAATTTCATCATCTACAATATCGAATGCTTTTGAAAGGTCAATAAAAATACCTTATGTATATTTAGACTTTTCAAAAGAATTAGAGATTTCACTTACAAATTGGATAATTGCATATTCTGTGTAACTATTTTTTATAAATCCAAATTGATAGTTGTATAAGAAATTATTAGATTTAAAATAACTGTATAATCTATTGTACATAATACATTCTTGTATTTTTCAAAAAGTGGAGAGGACAGATATTGGGCGATAATTACTGATACTTGTTTGGTCACCGTCTTTTAAAATTGGGTAACTTTAGCAACTTTAAGTTATTCAGTAAAAATTTCTTGGTGGATAAATGCGCCATTAACTTTAAAAAAGATACCTTTGAAGTATTCAAAACATTTTATGGCTATATTGCCGTTTATGTCATCTGCTCCTAAGAAATCTAAAAGCTCCTTTAAGCTCTTGAAAAGATAGTTCAGAAGATAATTCGTTAGAACCAATACAATTATCTATTTGTACTAAAAAGTCTCTAAATTTAGCATTTGTATAAGGAATTTTATTTACTAGTTTGAAAAAAGAGTGTCCATGGGGAGGGGGGAGGATGATATGAAAAAAAAGGTCCTACTCGTCTAAAAGACCTACATTTGCGACCTACTTGTCTAAAAGGGTCAAATTTGTTAACTAAATGAACATCCTTCGCACCGGCTTTGGTTATCAACTATAATTGCCTGAGGGATGGAACCTGAGCATCTTTTTTGTCTAACACTAATTTCATTCATTATTTGTCAAGTGCATTTTGAGTTATTTCTTAGTTTATATATGAGTCTTGAGTAGTAATTTTTTTTAAGTTTATACGAACTTTTTCAAATAGGGATTTGTATTCTTTATATATTTTTTTAACGGGTCACTACTAAAATTTTGCCCAACTTTTTAAACAAGATATCTCAGTCATTTTACAATTTTTTTTAAAACGGTTTTTTGCATTTTATAAACAACAATTTTAAGTGTTAGAAAAAATGTCTTTTAAAGTTTTTCAATTCCATTCCTTCTAACAAAATCGAGTCTTTTGTGTACCGAGCTGAAGGTGCGGTGTATAAGGTCTTTGTCCAAATTACGAAGGCAAAGACTGACTCTAGCTTTGAGTTGAGTGATAGTTTTAGCCTGCCAGTCCTTCTCATACACTTTCTGCTTCAAAAATCCCCAAAAATCCTCAATTGGCCTGACTTTCGGGACGTTTGATGGGTTGTCTTGTTTTTGTACAAAATTGACTTTTTTGTCTCTGAGGTCGGCGTGGACTGAGTTTGCTTAGTGGGAGCTAGCTAAATTGGGCCAGAATACGTATTTACCATCCCTATAGTATTTGTTAATAAAAGGAATCAACCTCTTTCGTATACACTCGTCACGGTAAATACATTGATTGATTGCCAGGCCAGACTTGAAAAATTTGACACTACTCATTCCTCGAGGTGAAACTGCCACCCAAACAAGTAGTTTTGAGTCGTATTTTGCCTTCATTTTGTTCTTCACATCAGTAGGAGTCTTTTGAATATCATCTGAGTAAAATCGGTCATTCCCAGCCAAAGTTGTGTTGGAAAGAGTGAAGTACGATTCATTATCCAAAATAAAATCGACATCACGAAATTTGAGGAAAAGTCGTCCACACTTTGGCCTTGCTAACTTGACTTGTAAGGCTGTCATCTTTGGTTTGACGGTGCGTTTTAGACATCTGATATTTGTTCTTTGCAATAGCATCTTTGAAACGTATTGCTGAGTTGTTTTTAGCTTGCTAACTACTCTTTTCTGTGAGCAGCCCTTCCGATGATTAAAGAAATTTTTCATCTTACGTATGTTGTTTGCAGTCGCTATAGTGGTCGGAGGACCGCTTCCTTTTTTCCTAGTTAGTACTTTATTTTGTTCCAGCATGCTAAGCCAATGATTTAAAGTCCTTTTTGGAGCTCCCATGCTGATAAATTTATCAAAAATATGTTTTCGCCCCTGTCCATGGTTTTTTTGATAGTATTTATACAAAATGGATTTTAGATCTTCATACATTATAGCGTGATATTTTTTGAACTACAAATCATACGAACTATTTAAAAATATATTTGAATAGAGAATGCTTTTGAGTATATTCTGTTAAAATTTTAAAAATATACACAAAGCAGATCTTTATTGACATTATCCCAAAGTTTGGGCAAAATTTTAGTTGTGACCCGTTACTTGCAATGATTTTTTTTTTAAGATATTTATTCAAAGCTTCTGTTTTTATCTTTGATGATTTTTTAAATTCCTTGGTTGAATTTTTTTTTGGATTTGTTGTTTTTACAATGATAGGAAATTTAGCATCACACACGGAATAAATGTTTCAAAAAAATTGTCTTAAATTTTGTTTCCATTTTTATTAAAGTTAATATACTTCCAGTGCAGGATTGTATTTTTATTTTTTTTGGTTTAATTATATTTCCCGAGTTTGAATTAAGTGACGAAAATATTGGAAAATGATCGGATATATCCGATTTTAGGATACCTGTTTGAATATAATTTTCGGATATATCTGTTGTAATGATATTATCAATCAAAAACACTAAGTATTTTGTTACTCTCGTTGGACGAATAATCAAAGGAATTTTTCCAATTTCAAAAATAAAATCGTCTAAGTTTTTAATTTTATTATCTTCATTGTATAGAAAACAACTCATTTCTTGGTCCCCAATAATGACATTTTTTTCTTTAGTATCTTTTTTAAATATATTTTGTTCAAAAAAAATGCTTAAGGTGGTTATCAGGTAAAAAAATAGCGATTTTTGTGAAAAAATGTGTTTTTTAGTTTATCAGCCAACTTTGTTTAAAATTTAATTGGCTTTTTAACCATATATAACATGATATGGGTTAATTAATAAAAAAATGTAAAAAAATTGTTTTAGTTGGTAAGAGTAAAAAAAATTTACTTAACAACCGCATAGCAACCAATAATTTTTTATAGATATATTACCCAAAGACCTAGATTTAAACAATTATTTCTTTTCATGGGTCTGTATAAT